GCAATTCTCATCTCTGATAAAATAGACTTTAAAGCAACTAAGATCAAAAGAGACAAAGAAGGCCATTACATAATGGTAAAAGGATCGATACAACAAGAAGAGCTAACGATCCTGAACATATACGGACCCAATGCAGGAGCACCCAGATACATAAGGCAAGTTCTTAATGACTTACAAAGAGACTTAGACTCCCACACAATAATAGTAGGAGACTTTAACACTCCACTGTCAATCTTAGACAGATCAACCAAAAAGAAAATCAACAAGGATATCCAGGGCTTGAACTCAGACGTGGAGCAAGCAAACCTGATAGACATTTACAGAACTCTCCACCCCAAATCCACAGACTATACATTCTTCTCAGCACCACATCACACCTACTCTAAAATTAACCACATAATTGGAAGTAAAGCACTGCTCAACAAATGCAAAACAACTGAAATCATAACAAACAGCCTCTCAGACCATAGTGCAATCAAGTTAGAACTCAGAATACAGAAACTGACCCAGAACCGCACAGCTTCATGGAAACTGAACAACTGGCTCTTGAATGTTGACTGGGTAAACAATGAAATGAAGACAGAAATAAAGAAGTTCTTCGAAACCAATGAGAACAAAGACACAACATGCCAGAACCTCTGGGACACGTTTAAAGCAGTCTCTAGAGGAAAGTATATAGCAATAAGTGCCCATATGAGGATAATGGAGAGATCCAAAATTGACACCCTATAGTCAAAACTGAAAGAGCTAGAGGAGCAAGATCAAAAAAACTCAAAACCCAGCAGAAGACAAGAAATAACTAAGATCAGAGCTGAACTGAAGGAGATTGAGACACGAAAAACCCTTCAAAAAATCAATAAATCCAAGAGCTGGTTTTTTGAAAAGATCAACAAAATAGACAGACCACTAGCCAGATTGATTAAAAATAAAAGAGAGAACAACCAAATAGATGCAATAAAAAATGATAAAGGGGAAATCACCACAGATTCCACAGAAATTCAAACCATCATCAGAGAACATTACAAACAACTCTATGCACATAAACTAGTAAACCTGGAAGAAATAGATAAATTCCTGGACTCCTGTGTCCTCCCAAGCCTAAACCAGGAGGAAGCTGAAACTATGAATAGACCAATAACAAGGTCAGAAGTCGAGGCAGCAATTAAGAGCCTACCACTCAAAAAAAGCCCAGGTCCAGACGGGTTCACAGCCGAATTCCACCAGACACACAAAGAGGAGCTGGTACCATTCCTTTTAAAACTATTTCAAACAATCCAAAAAGAGGGAATCCTTCCCAAATCATTTTATGAGACCAACATCATTCTGATACCAAAACCTGGCAGAGACCCAACAAGAAAAGAAAACTTCAGACCAATATCCATGATGAACATAGATGCAAAAATCTTCAATAAAATATTGGCAAGCCGATTGCAACAGCAAATCAAAAAACTTATTCATCACGAACAAGTAGGATTCATCCCGGGGATGCAAGGCTGGTTCAACATACGCAAGTCTATCAACGTAATTCACCACATAAACAGAACCAAAAACAAAAACCACATGATTATCTCAATTGACGCAGAGAAGGCATTTGACAAAATTCAACAGCCCTTTATGCTAAAAACCCTCAATAAACTCGGTATCGATGGAACGTATCTCAAAGTAATCAAAGCTATTTATGACAAACCAACAGCCAATATCATACTGAATGGGCAAAAACTGGAAGCATTCCCTTTGAAATCTGGCACTAGACAAGGATGCCCTCGTTCACCACTCCTATTCAATATACTACTGGAAGTCCTAGGCAGAGCAATCAGGCAAGAAAAAGAAATAAAGGGTATTCAAATAGGAAAGGTGGAAGCCAAACTGTCTCTATTTGCAGACGACATCATAGTATACCTAGAAGACCCCATTGCCTCAGCCCAAAAACTCCTGAAACTGATAAGCAACTTCAGCAAAGTCTCAGGATATAAAATCAATGTGCAAAAATCACAAGCGTTCGTCTACACCAATAACAGACTTAAAGAAAGCCAAATCAAGAACGAACTGCCATTCACAATTGCTACAAAAAGAATAAAATACCTTGGAATACAACTCACAAGGAACGTAAGGGACCTCTTCAAGGAGAACTACAAACCACTGCTCAACGAAATCAGAGAGGACACAAACAGATGGAGAAACATTCCATGTTCATGGTTAGGAAGAATTAATATCGTGAAAATGGCTATACTGCCCAAAGTAATTTACAGAATCAACGCTATCCCCATCAAGCTACCATTGACTTTCTTCACAGAACTGGAAAAAACCACCATGAACTTCATATGGAACCAAAAGAGAGCCCACATAGCCAAGTCAATTCTAAGCAAAAAGAACACAGCGGGGGGCATCACACTACCGGATTTCAAACTATACTACAAGGCTACAGTAATCAAAACAGCATGGTACTGGTACCAAAACAGAGATACAGACCAATGGAACAAAACAGAGGCACCGGAGGCAACACAACATATCTACAACTATACAATCTTTGATAAACCTGACAAAAACAAGCAATGGGGAAAGGATTCCCCATTTAACAAATGGTGTTGGGAAAACTGGCTAGCCATGTGCAGAAAGCAGAAACTGGACCCCTTCCTGACACCTTACACTAAAATTAACTCCAGATGGATTAAAGACTTAAACATAAGACCTGGCACCATAAAAACCCTAGAAGGAAATCTAGGCAAAACTATCCAGGACATACGAGTAGGCAAGGACTTCATGAACAAAACACCAAAAGCAATGGCAACAAAAGCCAAAATAGACAAATGGGACCTAATTAAACTCCACAGCTTCTGCATGCAAAAGAAACAGTCACTAGAGTGGATCGGCAACCAACAGAATGGGAAAAAATATTTGCAGTTTACCCATCTGACAAAGGGCTGATATCCAGAATTTACAGAGAACTCAAACAGATTTACAGGAAAAAAACAAACAAGCCCATTCAAAAGTGGGCAAAGGATATGAACAGACACTTTACGAAAGAAGACATATATGAGGCCAACAATCATATGAAAAAATGCTCATCGTCACTGGTCATCAGAGAGATGCAAATCAAAACCACATTGAGATACCATCTCACGCCAGTTAGAATGGCGATCATTAAAAAATCTGTAGACAACACAGCACTTTGGGAGGCCGAGGCGGGTGGATCACGAGGTCAAGGGATCAAGACCATCCAGGTCAATATGGTGAAACCCTGTCTCTACTAAAGATACAACAAAATTAGCTGGGCATGGTGCTGCATGCCTGTAATCCCAGCTACTCGGGAGGCTGAGGCAGGAGAATTGCCTGAACCCAAGAGGCGAAGGTTGCGGTGAGCCGAGATCGCGCCATTGCACTCCAGCCTGGGTAACAAGAGCGAAACTCTGTCTCAAAAAAAAAAAAAAATCTGTAGACAACAGATGCTGGAGAGGATGTGGAGAAAAAGGAACACTTTTACACTGTTGGTGGGAGTGTAAATTAGTCCAACCATTGTGGAAGACGGTATGGCGATTCCTCAAGGCCTTAGAAATAGAAATCCCATTTGACCCAGCAATCCCATTACTGGGTATATATCCAAAGGACTATAAATCGTTCTACTATAAGGACACATGTACACGAATGTTCATTGCAGCATTGTTTACAACAGCAAAGACCTGGAATCAACCCAAATGCCCACTGATAATAGACTGGATTGGAAAAATGTGGCACATATACACCATGGAATATTATGCAGCAATCAGAAATGATGAGTTTGTGTCGTTTGTAGGGACATGGATGAATCTGGAGAACATCATCCTCAGCAAACTGACACAAGAACAGAAATTGAAACACCGCATATTCTCACTCATAGGCGGGTGATGAAAAATGAAAACACATGGACACAGAAAGGGGAGTACTAAACACTGGGGTCTATTGGGGGAAAAGGGGAGGGCCAGTGGGAGGGGGAGGTGGGGAGGGATAGCCTAGGGAGAAATGCCAAACGTGGGTGAAAGGGAAAAGGAAAGCAAAGCACACTGCCATGTGTGTACCTACGCAACTGTCTTGCATGCTCCGCTCATGTACCCAAAACCTAAAATCCAATAAAAAATTAAAAAAAAAAAACACGAATATATTTATCGTTTCATGTGTTTCTGTCGAGAACCTTTTGGTACCGAATCTAGCATGGGAATGTTCCTTGATCTCAGCTGTCTGAGAAATTTTCGGGAGCGGCGCCTGCTTTCTCTTCCAGCCTCTACGGAACAGTGGTCTGACTATGGGAAGTGCAGCATCTATACAGAGGCTGTGCTGTGATTGGTGGAGATTTCTAACTTATTGGCTGCAAACACTCAGGTACCTAAAGTGTTTTTAAACATCTGTTTGCATGCCTTGACATGGTAAATATGTTCTGAACTGCAGGACAGAAATTGCACCTGAATTAGTTTAAAATGATCTTTCCTGTGGCATTTTAACGGCTTTAACCTTAACTAGGACTTAGAAGCTGCAAGACCTTTTCCTTTTGTTCTTGGTTTGTTGCTGAAAAATTATGACTTTCCATAGACACGAATGCATCTGCATACATGTGGGCAAACTACTTGTGTTGTATGATCCCAGGGTTAGCATTTCAGCTATAGAAGTCGTATGTGATAACTTAGGAAAACTTACAGGCTCTGAGTAAATCCCCATGATGGACATTTACAGAAGGATGTGCAAAGTATATTCAATTTGTTACTTTTTATTTCCTGTGGTATAAATGGTCACAAAATGCAGTGGTCCAACACAGTATTAATGAGGAAAAGATAATTTTTCAAGCACCTTATTTTGGCAATCATGTTTAACAGAGGAAATTTATTTTTATCAATAATTAAACATTAGATCTTGTTTGGATTTTTCTTTCCCAGAGAAGGAGAAGAGGAAACAACTTCGTTCCTGGAGGCGGAAAGGAAAAAAACAAAAAAACATGAGGCTGGAAGAAGTTAAACACTTTTGGACAGCCTTACCTTTGAGAAGCTTTCTTTCTTCAAATGGTTCCCTCATATCCTTGTCATGTTTTCTGTTGTTTTCTTTCCTCAGCCCTCGTATGGCAGGAAAGAGTTCCTAGAGAGGGAAGACAAATACGGTCTGTGTTTCAAAAGAAGCCTTTGAAAAACTGAAGGTGCCACATGAAAACTTTGTAAGTAAGCTGGTTGCTCAAACTTGCTCTTGACGGGATGAAGGTGCCATGCTGATGATTTGCTAATCACAAAAAACAAGTGAAACCTAATGGCAGTGTAGGGCCTTTATTAAAGTATGATTTAAGGGAAATACTACTTCAGAAAAAGATGTCAGCGACGGATTGACATCCAGCAGATAGTTACACTCTGGGTTTAGGTGTCAATAAAAATGCAACAATCTGCATTTGTAACAGAATGAATGATCTGTCTTTTTTGACAAGGAAAGTTGACAAACTTCTCTGTATACAGGCGAGGAACGTGATGTGATCTAAACACGTTATACCAAGAATAAGAGGTTTTCTATCCAAACAATAAAGTGACTAAGCTCTGTTAGCATTTTCTGCTTGGCTTTCTTGGGCGTACTCAGCGGCATGATAGGACACCCGTCTCGGGATTGGAATCGCCCCGAAAAGCTTCTGAGATGCTCTTTCCGCCTGGTCTGCACCCATGGGAGGCCAGTTCCAGGTGTTCCCAACTTTGCCTCACGCTGGGATTGCTGTTCTTTCTTTCTGAACTCTCAGGATCCCGCGATGCTTGTGCCCGGGGCTCGTGTCACAGTGCCCGCCACCTTGGCTTGGGGCACCGTCTCAGCGGCTTTGCAAGGTCGGGGCTTGCTGCTGGTAGGGCCTTCTCCATCAGCAGTGCTGAGTCCAAGCAGGGGTCCCTGGACTTGGAGACCAAGGCAGGGCGCCTTGGTGTGTGGCCAGTATCCAAGGGGGGCAGTGAGCTCACCGAGCAGAGAAATGTTCTGCTGACACCCTCCTGGAGGGTCTCAGACCCAAGTTTCTGGGGTCCACCGACCCCCGCCACACCTCATCAGACTGAGTCACCAGCCCGATGGGACCCGACGTCCGCCCACGCTCTCCAAGCAGTCGGGGTTGCAATGGTGAGGGCAGTCCCGAGTGCCCACGTCACGATGTGAATCGCTTTCCTCCTCCAGCCCATCAGAGCAGGAAAGCCGTCTCGACGAGGTACGGAGGTCAGAACTGTCCGTCTCCTGCGCTGCTGGTGGCAGGCAGCCTCGTTCCCCGGGACTGCCCCGGGCACCGCCTCCAGCATTGTCCTGTGCGGCTGCCGCGGGGGAGCACCGACACTGCGGCCCGCCATCCGGGACCGCCAATGCGCATGCGCAGGCGGGGCGTCACAGGCGCGAGCTCTGAGCCGGGGCTCGCGTCACAGTGACGGCCTCCGTGACCTGGGGAACCGTCTGAGCGGCTTGAAAAAGCAGGCGCCCACTGCGGCAGTGCCTCACCGTTGGGCGACGGCCCTCCCACCTCACGGCGATGGTCGCCACGGTCCCGCGATTTTCGGAGTTCGACTTGGAAGAACCAGGCTGAGAAAAGGTCCAGCGAAGCTTCAGGAATGCTCAGGGCGATGAATTTGTAAGGATTTTCTCGTTTATTCAGGCCTGCTTAACCGGTGTTTGTGTCCGTCTCCTTTAAAGCTGTCCCTACTGGGATTTGTAGGGAAGGTCAGCCTGTGTGCCCCTGGTCTGCTCTATTCCAGAGGGGCTTCCCAGAAGACAGCAGAAACCCACAGCCTCAGGAGCTGACTGCCACTGTTGGATGATGTCTTTGTGTGTCTTTCTCTGTGTTTGTGATTTTGTGGGTGTTTTTGTGTGTGTGTGTTTGTGTGTGTCTGTTTTTGTGTTTCTTTCTACCTACCTTTTATGGACCGCAGTGGTGAGTAGCAGGGTTTCCTGGGCTTTGAGACCAATGCAGAATCTCCAGCTCCATGGGACTAGATCCCTGTCTACGCTGTCCAATTCCTAATTCAATGTGGAGTTCAGTCTCGAGTACCCACTTCAGGGTCTGAAGTGGCCTCGTGCTTGAACTGACCTTATTGGAAAATTCGGCTCAAGGCGGTACTGAGCAGATTCACATCAGCTACTTTTTGGTACCTCTGCCCAGATGAAAAGTGGGACCAAACCGATGACCACAAGTAGTCACAGATAAAAAATAAAAGAGGATATTGGACCAGACCCAGTATCGCTTGGGGTAAAGAAGCCTGTCCTGTGTGTATCCTCAAAGGAAGAGTATCAGGAAAACAACAGAGGCGCGCCAGACCCCACAGCGGCTTCTATTGGCTGAGAAGCCTCCTGAGTCCCCACACTGGGAGAACAGGACAGTCTGCTTGTGATAGGAAGCTTCCATTTATGAGCTAGTCCTAATTCTGGCCCCACTTCTTCTTCTGAGCAGGGTCACAGTGTCCTGCTGACCCTGTTGTTTGAAGCTATAATCAAGAGAGCCACATCAGGGCCTCTGCCTAGCCAAGACCTCGCTGAGCGTGAAAACTGGAAAAAACTAATAATCTTCCAGGATACAGGGAATGATGCCAGCTGGCCCAGACCAAATCTAGTTGTTGGGTTCAGTATTGATAGAAATAACTGATCTCAGGCCCACAACCTGACAGAGACAGCTGTGCCATCTCTCAAATCCAGGCACAGAGGGCTGCCCTTAATTTCCTGTGCCAGCCCACCCAGCCAGAGCTACCCAAGGTAAGGGGAAAGTAGAGGCAGGCCTTGTCATTTGCAGAAATACCCCCAAGAGAATGGGGACACTGTGCCAGCCTGTGACTAGAGGTTTATATGGGATCTCATTTGCCCTGCTGGGTGCTGCAGGTCAATACACCAAGCCCAACTTCCCTGGGCAGCTTATGCACAAAGGCACACAGAGTCAGGAACCAGTCAGGACATGAGCTAATGCAAACAGCCAAGCCAGAGGATAGGACCCATTTTTGAAGTTTGAGGGGAAAGAAAAGATCCACAAGATACCAGCTCTCAAAGGTGAATTCACTTAGAAGCCTCTCAGGAACTTTTCTCTACACCCTTACACCCTCAAACAGAATCCTAACAAAAGCCAAGATATCTGACCAGGCACTCACCCATTTTCCAGTCTCTGCCTCCAAGAAGAATCTCATTGAATCTAAACAGCCTTCAGTGGTAGGTGCTGCTATCAACCCTGTTCCTGTGGTCCACATGACCAAGCCACTCAGCCAGGGCCACACAGCAAGGCAGGGCTGAAGTCAGGATTGAACCCAAGCAGACCAGCTTCAGAGCTGAGCCATACAACCCAGAGACATTGGGGAACCCCAAAAATGGGCGCTGGTGAGGAGTGGGCTCCACAGTGTTTTTTCCCTGCACTGCACCTCCTCACAGGGCCCAGAAAACCTGCAGGAGGCTAGGACTAGGCCAGAGGGGAGAAGGGGATGGCTAAAAGCACAAAGCTTCAGTGGCATGAGGTCCCCAGGTGGGACTGCATGTCAAGTGATACCCACCTATTAAGAGCTGGGACCCTTGGGGCTTTATCACTTAGTCCCCACAAAACAAAAACCCTGAGTTAGGGAGTCTTTTACCGTCATGTGACAGATGAGGACACGGACTCAGAAAGGCCAAGTGACTCAAAGAAAGTCACACACTGGTTAGGAGTGGAGACTTGATTCAAACCCAGAAGGACAAACACAAAGCACCTTTCTCACACCTCATCTCAAGGCCAGTTCTAGTGGGCAGGGAGGAGCTCACTCTTCCAGACCAGATCCATACATTTAATCTCCTTCACGGCAAATGCCTCGACTTTGCTTCACAGAAATTGATCATAGAGTCAACGGGATGGGGCATCCTGGGCCCTCAGGAAACATGCCAACCCACATTTCCATTGCCCTTGTTTAGGAGGTCACTCCTAGGAAATCCTGCTTTTCATCCCTTCCCAGGCTCCATCTGACTAAGTGCCTCCAGGAGGGCAGGGAGTCTGATCGCCACACACACTGAGAGAATAGAGAAAGTGACACAGGCAACCAGCTTACTTACAAAGTTTTCATGTGGCACCTTCAGTTTTTCAATATTCAGCTTAAGGCTTCTTTTGAAACACAGACCGTATTTGTCTTCCCTCTCTAGGAACTCTTTCCTGCCATACGAGGGCTGAGGAAAGAAAACAACAGAAAACATGACAAGGATATGAGGGAACCATTTGAAGAAAGAAAACTTCTCAAAGGTAAGGCTGTCCAAAAGTGTTTAACTTCTTCCAGCCTCATGTTTTTTTGTTTTTTGTTTTTTGTTTTTTTCCTTTCCGCCTCCAGGAACGAAGTTGTTTCCTCTTCTCCTTCTCTGGGAAAGAAAAATCCAAACAAGATCTAATGTTTAATTATTGATAAAATAAATTTCCTCTGTTAAACATGATTGCCAAAATAAGGTGCTTGAAAAATTATCTTTTCCTCATTAATACTGTGTTGGACCACTGCATTTTGTGACCATTTATACCACAGACCCTGCAGACCTGGTGGCCCTGGGCCTTGTTTTAAGTGGTATATGAAAAATAGTAACTGTCTATAACATTCATACAAAGAGGAGTCACAGGGTCTTACTTATTTCTCTAAGCCTAAATACAAGAGTCAATATCTCTTCTGTTGGGTGGTTCAACTCACAAGGTATGGTAGTCATTATTGAACCTGTGAGCTGAACCAAGGTATATGTTACAATGGCACCTCTCAGTAGGGAGCAAGCAGGAAAGACACATCACCCAGGTGCTATGCCATGGATATGTCACAGTCTTTTCAGAAAGCAGAGACCAGGCTGGAGAGTCACATCATTAGCGTGCTTAGCCAAGAATATTTTAAAATCTCCTCCTGAAAGCCATGTAACAGGAACAAAATCACCTCACCTGGGTGCTGGGCCCAGCAGTAAGTCACAATGCTCTCTGTGGGAAAATCCCAGGCAGGAGAGACACATCAACTGGTTCCTGGGTGCAGAAATAAGTCACGATTTTTCTTGTTGGCAACATTCAGGCAGAAAAAAAGTCACAATTCTGAGGTGATGGCTGCAGACATACGTCACAGGCTCACTGCAGGCAGGGCTCAGGCAGGAGCCTCACATCCCCTAGGTTCTGGGCCTAGCATTGTGTCCTGGTACCCAAAATATGCGGGGCAAAGCAAGAAAAGGAGAGTTTCATCATCTAGAATTAGGGACAAGGGTATGTCACAATTTTTCTTTTTTCTGGCAGTGCCCTGATGAAAGAGAAGAGTCCCATCACCGTGTTTCTGGGTCCAGCAATACATCACAATCCCTTCTTGGTCAGAGCCCAAGTGGGAGAAGAAAGTCAGATCACTTAGGTCCTGGGTTCAGAAATATGTCAGGATACCTAGGAGGAGAGGGCACAGGAAAGAGAGTCAAAAGAAATATGTCACAATCACACCTGCAGAAACATCCAGGGATGGAAATAACCATCATCCCCATGTCCCAGTTCTAGGTATAAGAGTCAATACATTCTGTATGTTGGGTCTCAGCACATGAGTTACAGTCTCAACAAGAGACAGGATCCTTATATGACAGCCACAATCCCTCCTCTGCACTGTATTATTTTCAAAGGGTCACACCCTCACAGGTGTGCTGAATCTTGGTCAGGTGGGTTGCTGACTCTCCACATATGAGAGTCAGTTTTCAATTTCCAACTGACTCTGGGCATGAGATTTAAGACCTTAACACCAGCTGTGTTCATGTGGCTGGATGAAAATCTTTACTGTAGGCTGGGTGTGCATGCATGTATCACAATCTCATTTGTATGCCTTGCCCTGTATGGTCCCTCTCTGTCTTACTGGGGGCATTATACAATATGCATGAGAATTTCAATCCATTCTGAAACTTCGGTTCTTGGGCAAACCCACAATTTTACCTGTGAGTCTAAGCCCAGATATGAAAGTGAACATGTTTAAAAATGGCTGCATTTAGATAGAAGGATCTTCACCTGCCTATGACCTGGGTTAAGAAATGAGTCACCATTCCCACTGCCAGGTGTTCACATATGCAGTCTCAATTTCAACTGTGAACTGCATCCACGAGTTAGATTTAGGACCTCACAAGTTGGCTCTGTTTATGTGTGTAGGTGACAAGGCTAATGGTTGGCTGAGTGTGCCTACAGTAAGAAAATTTCTATTGTGTGCTGGGCCTAAACTTACATTCTCTGTATCAGCCCAGGGCTTTATACAATCTGGGAGGAAGTGATAATTTGTTATGATCTTTGTACAAAGAGGAGACCCAGGTGCATTTTATCTATTTCTCACAGCCTAACTAGGACAGACAGTATCTTTTTACTGGTGAATTTGATATATGGACCCACTAATAAAGGACATTTAGCTTTTTTATTTTAGGCTCAGGTAATGGATAAAGTACTGGGTTTTCCATGTGAGGAAAGTTACATAATACTATGTTACTAAGCTTATCCTATAAAGCTTCTGTGTGACATTGAGAGGATCCAGTATGCAGGTGAAATCGTGACTCTCATAGGGACACCCAACTAAAAATTAGGATTGTTCTCCTGACACATAAAAATAACCCAGTGGTGAGGTCCTGAATCTCACAGGCACACTCCACAGTTAGATTTGTGACATTCATATGTGAGTCCCCGGACAGTTAGTATGATGACTTATTATTGGAGCCAGCTTACAGACACTTCGATGACTGTCATACCTATATTTGGCTAATAAGAGAGATGTGACTCCCATACGTGGGCATAGGGCAATGGGTACAATCATTGGTTTACACCAGTATGAAAGTCTCAAAGCACATTGCAACTGCCACTTACACCATATAAAGCCCATGGGTAATACAGAGTGTCATAACAAAACCAAGAACACAGGTGAAATTGTGACTCTCCTATACACACTCAGCCAACTGTTAACATTGTCAGTTCCACACATGGAAACTGTTCACAGTGAGGCTGTGGATTGACTCATAGATTGAGAAAGATTTTGGATTTGGAACTGTGGCTCTCTTGCAGGGATAGAGTCCACCGTTATGATTGCGACTCATGTACTTGGACCCAACTCAAATGAGATCTCTTGACATTTGTACATGAAGTCAGAAAATGTGTGGAATTTTGAATCTCATTTCTCCACCTTCTTGCTGTGTTACCATGACAGGTACCTTTGCCCAGTGCCTGAGTGATTTGATTATCCTGCCTAAGTAAAGCTGTCAAAATAAAATTGTGATATATACCTGGGCCAAGCATTTAAGTTATTTTGCTTTCCTACATCGGCCCTGTCCTCAGGAAAAAATGCAACATATCAATGGTCCTATAACCTAGGTTACATAATCATCCACTTCTGCCTGGGCCATACCAACAGAGATGGTTGTAGCATATAACTGGGCCAATCACCTAAGTGGTGTGACTTTGCTCTTTTGTGTGGGCTTTGCCACAGTGCAGGTTGTGACCTATCACTGAGCCCTATGCATAAATGATATGACTCTCCTGTCTTGGCCCCTCCAAGAGGAGGCATTGTGATATATCAATAGTCCCATCAACTGGGTACTGTGACTCTCCCCTCTTACCTGAGCCTTGTCCACAGGCTGACATATTACTGTGCCCTGCAGGCAGATAATGTGTCTTTCCTGCATGAACCTGCCCAATGAAGGCATTGAGACACACTGCTGGGCCCAGTACCCAGGTTATGTGACTTTCCTGCCATGAATCTGCCCACAGAGGGGATATCCAGATGTTTTTGGTCCAGCATTCAGGTGATCTGATTATCTTTTCTGCTTTATTCACACAGGCTAATTTTGGCATATAGTTTTCCCAGCTCACAAGCATTACAATTACACTCATATGAGAACCCAGATAATAGGATGATTTTGAGGCTCTTAGCTAGACTTCAGGCAGTAGAAAAAGTCTTGGGTTTCCTACTTTTAGAAGGGTCACAGCGATGTATGAAATTCATACATATCCTATAAACACTTCGTGGTACAGAGAATTTAATAACAGGGCTGAGCACACAGGTGAGATTGTGACTCTCACAGGCACATTAGGCCAACAATTAGGAGTGTCACTTCCAAACATGAAAGAAACACACTGTTGAGCTTCTGGACCTCACAGGCAGATAGAGTCCACAGTTAAAAGTCTGACTGCCATGCGTACATCTGGAAACAGGTTGAACAGTGACTGATTTCTGGACCCAACTCAGAGGCACAGTGATTAGTTGCATACCTGGACCTAGACAATAGGAGAGATGTTGACTCTCATAGGTAGCCTTAAAGCAATGGGCAAGGTCCTGGGCTTTCTACTTCCATGAAGGTTGTGGAAGATGACAAAACTCACACATAGTGTATGGCCCCTTCTTGTGGTACAGAGAGTGTCATAACAGATCCCAGCACAAAGAAAAAATTGTTATTCTCATAGGTGTACCCAAACACGAGAGAACTGTCACTTCCACACATGGACAGTGAGGTCCTGAGTATCACATGTGCATACTCTCCACAGTTCAAATTGTGACTGTCATATGTGAATCTGGCCAGAGGTAGGATGGTGACTTTTTTCTGCACCCAACTCACAGGCACAGTGAGAACTGTCATGTCTGAACCTAGCCAAGAAGAGAGATGTTAGCTCTCATTCCTGTGCTTATGACAGTGCGTAAGATCATGAGTTCATACCAGCACATAGATCTCAGTGTGGATTATGACTTTCAGGTATATTATAGAAAGCCCTCAGGTGGCACAAAGTGTGTGATAACAGGGCCCAATGCACAGGTGAGCTAGGGATCATCATATGCAAACCCAGTTTACAGTAAGGATTTTCACCCTCTTAAACAGACACAGCCCATTGTTCAGGTTCTGAATCTCACACTTGGAGGCAGCTAAAAGTTGGAATTGTGAGTCTCATACATGGATCAGGTTCACAGATGAGATAATGACTCTCAGATCAAGATTCATCACACCTCTGAGGCTGTGACTCTACTACTAGGACACAATCTGAAGCTTGAATTGAGGTCCCAATATCTAGATTTAGATTCTGACTCACATAAATGAACGGATCACACAGGAGGTGCTGACTGTCATCCTTAGAGCTGGACATGTTTGGGATTGTTTATCTCATCCCTGGACTTTTGTGGAAGTGTGATTGTGACTTATGCTTTTGCCCATATCCTGAGTGGTTTTTGTTTTCTGACTGAGCCCAGCACACAGATAAAATTGTGACATATACCAAGGCCACGCACCAAGGTAATATGA